CGGCCAAAGAAATGGCCATCGTTGACCGAAAACGACGGCCATATCTTTGGCCATTGCTGACGGCAAAAGATGGCCGCGTTTTGGCTTCGGTTGTCGATGGCCACGGCAGGCCTTAGATCTGGCCTTTTCCGGTCGATCCGTGGGGATCTGCGGAAAAGGCCATAACGACGCGTTACAAAACCAGATCGACGGTCTGTGTAGTAACGCGATTTTTTGGCCAGATTCCGACAATGGTGGCTAGAATTGGCACTACAGGTGATGGGGGTATTTGTCATTTAATTGTGGGGTATTTAAAATTAGCAAACTTATGGGATTATTTTATAAATTTTAAATTTACCTGTAATACTCCATATTCAATTATCAATACTATTCCTAAAATTCTATCCAAAATAATAAAAACAAAGGCACCCTTATTATTACACAATGACAAAGGGGAATTTTAGCTATAAACCATTTATGTATCACAGCAATGTTTTATGATCTCCAACTTTATCAAATAAACATTAATAATTTTTTAAGCTTTATAAATATAATCTATCGGTAAAAGTGTCATTTATATTACTGTACATTAATCATTTTGTTATTAATTTTACATTAAATATTATATAAATAGTCACATCATATAAAAGAAATAGTACGCAATGGAGACGACTTATGGACCTGCTTTTTTTTATTCAGTTAGTAATTCATCCTCTGTCTACAACTTTTAACTTTTTATATTATACATAACAAAGGCAAACATATTAAAACTCAATTATAAACATTTTTTTTTTTTTTTTTTTTTTTTTTGTTTTTGGCAACGTTTAAGGTCAAATGTTATTATGTTAGTTGAAATTTAATTTTGATTCTTTAATTTCTTTATTAGTTGATATGTAATGCGTTATGTCTTTTTTTTTTTTTTTTTCAGTTGCTGTATTTTTGGGAGTCCTTAATTGGTAAGAAATTTTATCATTTTTTTGTCATATACTAGAAAAGAGTTGTTAAGAAATTTTTTGAGTTATAAATAATGCATAGATAAATCGAGTATAGTAAAGAGAATTTATTTTAGATTTTGCAAATTTTAAATTTACTGGCCATAGAATTATTTATCTTGAAAAAAAAAATATCCTGATTTGGTAGCAATAGCAAGACAGGCAAATGTGACCATATATTCACCAGAAATAATACATTTAAGGAATAAGTCTTATGTATACAAAATTGTTTAATCATGTGATAAATTGCATGGCTACATAGATATTTGAGAAATTATATTAAACGACATATTTGGAGCCTTGAATTGAGAAATAACATTTTTAGAAAGTGTCTCAAGAAATAGCAAAATCCTAATTACACAATATTTTTAAGACAAATTGCCGCCGCATATAAATAAAACTACAATATTCATCCATCTTCTTCAACCCTAACTACTCATCTTGTATTGCCAAAATTAAAACTTTCAACCCTAAACCAATACCCACATATTTGTGCCAAACGAGTGGAATTTGAGTGGAAATACTAGTTTTTGATTTAGGGTTTTGGTGGGATTTTAGGGTTAAGAATGAGAGATATGTTAAATGTTGTTGAGAACGGTGCAAAAATAGCTAGATAACTGGGTTGTAAAATGGTGAAATGACGGTTGCAATTTGTGTTTTTTGGCCGAATCAAGGGGTTTTAATGGATTTAACCAAAAAAGTGGTTTGCTAGAGAAGATAAAGTCTATTTTTGGTCGAATACTGGATTTGGCTAAACATGTTCTATCTAAATGGCCAAATCAGGCCAAAGGCAGTTTTCAGCCACCTTGTATCAAAAGGCACAATGGTCGAATTCGACTGACCTGTGAGTTTTGGCTAAAACTCGTCTTCAACCTTTAGTAATTTCTATCTGAATCCTCTAAAATTGGCTAAAACCATATTCAAATTTCGCCTAAACAATTCAATTAACAAATCCACTAAAATATAAAATATAAACTAAAAAATAATAAATCATTTCAAAAATAAACTTATTAACATGTTTCCTAAGACATATATGCAACGTACTTAAATTTTATATTTTAAACAACTTTCAAAATAACAAACTTTCATTAAAAAACAAAAATTAAGAAATCCTTAAAAAAAAAGCTCTTCAAGATCACAAATTCAAGTCTCACTTGGGGTTTTAGAGTGAAAGCGTGGGTTTTGAATTAGAGTAATACTAACATACAAAGAGTTATACAAAGAGTCAAATCTAGCCTTGAAAGAGGGAAAAAGAAAGAGAGAAAGGGCAATCATGAATTTCAAAGGCTAGATTTGACTCTTTATATGACTCTTTGTATGCCTCTTTGTAGGCTAGTATTACTCTTTTGAATAATGTTAGGGATTGTCATTAAAGGTAATTTCGCCACTAATTTTGTACTAAAAAAAAATATGCTATTTCCTGATGTGCTTTCGAAGTTGCTATCAACTCCTCCCTTAATTGTGCCATTTAATATAATTTCTCTAATATTTGATATAATTCCCAAATTAGTTTTAATTTTCCTATAATTGTGTTGTTTAATTAATTCTTTTTTTACCATTTTAACCAATCAGGTGCACAGGTCACATATGTATATATTAGTTAGTAGAGTAATACTACAGCAACCGACAGTAAGCACTAAATGACGTGACAAAATCCTAACCATTGATTAATTAAGTTAAAATAATCAATGGTCAAGATTTTGTATATATTCGGTGCAAAAATTCGATGAACCCGTCGATGATTGTATTATTTTCTATTAGTATTTATGATCATTAAATTTAACTATTTTTGTTTTCATCATTTATAATGGAGTACTTAGGAAAATACATTTTTGTAGGTTTATATAGATTATAAATACAACGATGTTTTATTGGTCTTCCTTGAAATCTAGAAAGCGATCCCTCTGGGTCCCAAAAAGTCTTGTCACCATGGTGCAGAAAACGCCGCATCACGACACGCAAATGACACATTGCCACACATAAACATACCACTCATCTATCGTACTTATCATCGCCATAAAAAACCATTATTGCTTCGTGACTCGCTGCGTCCTTATTTCCCCTTTTCTTTCGATTTAGGGCACGAAAAAAACAAAACATAACAAAATCGTTAACAAAACTCGCTATTTGACTCAGTAGCCACACATAGATTCCTGATCTGCCTCCAGGTACTCTCACTCTCTCTTTTTCCCAATCGCTGAGTCCTACTTGATTTTCGACTCGCCGCGCGAGTTCGATCTGATGCACTTAACTTTTTTATTTTTTACGATCCTCCCGTTCTGTCACGTTTTCTTTTTCAAAACAGCATCAACTATTGTTCGTCATAATCGCGATAAGTAAATTAGTTTTTTTATTTATTTTTTATTTTTATTTTTGGAGTTGAGACTTTGATTTGTATATTAGGTTTTCGTTTTAAGCATTGAAAGCTTTATTTGGTTGCTGAGAAGCGCGGCCAAATTTGTGGCAGATTAATTGATTTATTATATTTGGATTATGCAATTATGATGAAAGCTTACTGAAGTAAGCGGAAGTAGAGATTGTTTTTACTTCTGTGTTTATTTTTGTGAGTGTGAAAATGAGATGTTTAAGTTTTAGATTCTAGTTTCTTTTGGTCTTTCATATTCAAGTAAAGCAGATAGAGATTATTTTCTGGTTTTTAAAATTTTATTGCTTTTGCTTATCTTGGATACTACATTTGCGATGGAGACTTATTTTATTATAACTGATTTCAACATACGTTTTGTTATAGCTTGCAGCTCTTTAGAAAAGGTGTAGTGTGGACTTTTCAATAATTTTTATTTTATTATATGTGTACATTTGTGGGTCTTCTTCTATATTGAGCATGTTAGGTTTTTGACCAACCATATTCTATATGAATTTGTCCCTGTTTTTCTTAACGAAACGTTATGTGTAGGAATAAATCATTGAAGCCTAATAGGACTCCTTAAGTGGTGGTAAGCCTCTCTATCTATTGTCAAAATTATATTAATTTTGAAAGATGATAGAAACCCAGACATAAGGCCTTTATATTGTCAAGATTCTGTTATTCCAAAATTGGTGGTATACAAAGTTGATATTAGGTAAATGACCTGACTACGTGTGGGATTCATTCTTGATGTTTGGCTCTGTGCGTTTTGCTGTGACATTTGGGCTCCGTTCATTCTAGTCCGCATATTCCTGTCTCAGTTTTGGTTACACTTTTAGTTTCTTACAAATGTGTTGTCTTTTCAGGCAATAAGTTGAATTCACTGAGAAAAGCTTTCAAATCAGCAATTATCTCTGAAACAAGAAACAGAAGGGCTTCTTCCAGCGAGGAATGATTTTTTGCGAGACTTTGAGACATTGTGCAATGTCGGGGTTACTTAATGTACTGTCCCTGAACTTGCAAACTCTAGGCCAAAGAAATTATCCTAGAGTTGTGGAACCTTTTTTTGCTTAATGGGAATGTGCATTTTGTTGTTGTGAAGTGGTTTTAAGAATTTGGAATTTGCTTTGAGACAAATTTATTGATGGCTCTTCTCCAGTCTATAAGAAGTGATAAGTGTACAAATGTTTTAGTATTTTTATTTTCTTTTGTGGATTTTTGCTATAATTGGTGATATTCTTGTTTAGTGCTTAGTGGGCATAAGCAAAAAACGAGTGATTTCATCTTTAATGTAATATTTGGGGTTTCACTATTTTTTTTAGGTTATTCTTTGAGAATATGGTTTTGAATGAGTTGCCACCTTGGATGTAAAAAATTTAGTACTATTGAACTGTTGCTTGCTGGTAGTAGGTTACTTGCCTAATTGTATTTAAGGATGAGTTATGAAATCCACTGCTATGATTATGAAAATATTGTGCTTGTTGTGTTGGATGCATCATTTGTATGAATGTTGGGCATCCTTGTTATGCTATTTGTTTTAGGTTAACTTGTATTTTTGATTTTTTGGTGATATGCTTTTTTATGGATTGGCCAGTTTTTTTCTGTTCTTTTGCAAAATTTTGACACACTTTTAGCTGCAGTCTCTCTCAATGGATCGGTTTAATATCCAGACGGTACTGGGCGATCATTGCCACATCTTTCTCTGCACAGTCTGGTGCGGCTTCCCTGTTTTCCATCACATGGTGGGTGTGTTTTGCTGCAGCTGCACTCATTTGTGTTCTTTAATTTTTTTATAATGGATCTTTTCCTTTGCAGGAACTTATCAGGGGCTTCATAACATTCATGGGAGCTTTAATGTTCCCAATATGCCGGGCACACTTACTTCAAGAAATCCAACAAGAATAACGTTCCATCTGGTGGGGGTTCAACAACCTATGGAAGCCTTTCTAGTGGGAGTTTGCATCAAATAATCTCCTGTTGCTCTATCCCAGGTACTTGTGATAGCCCATGATGGAATTTTTCTGTTTTTCTTTCTATACATGTGTTATGTCTGCATGGTTGTAGTTCTGTATAAGTCCTTACTTTTCAATTGATTTGCAGTTATCTCAGGAAGCTCTCATGGACATTAGGATCACAAACAGAGGGGGTAAGTGTTGTGGGAACCCTGGATTTAGTAGTAAACACATGGAGTTGGGGTTCTATTCCTGGGATTTCAACCTCTGCGGCAATGGTAACGCGAATGCTGTCCAGGATTGGGAGTATCCCCAATTTTGGGAAATACAGGTCCTCGGATTACAAGTTCAATGGGGAACATGGTTGGTGGGGTAACATCGGAAGGAGCATAAGCTCTGGTGGGGATTATCTGTACCGTGTCTTGCATCTCGTTTAACTATCTGCAAATAGTGGATCTGGAAATCTGAGTGTGCAAGGACAAAATAGGTTGATGAGTGGTGTGCTTCCACAAGGTATCTTACCCTGAAATGGCAGTATATTTTTTTTTGTGGACTAGGGAAGTTGCACTGATCCTTCGATATGTATTAGCTTTAAAATGTTGGACCTTTTATTTTATTATGTATATTTTTATTATATACCAATGTTCCGAAAACGGACTGGACAAATGACCTGTTCAAGGGTCGGGTTTGACCGGTTGGATCGGTCGGTTGGACTGTATTATGTAAAAGTACCATGTAGTCCTCAAGGTTTGAAATTCATCAAAACACCCCTATAATACTCCCTTAAGTTTGAAATCTGTCAAAAACCCATGTTGTGCGAAAGAGCTGGTTAGTGGTGGACGGGGGGCAGCGACGATCGACGGCCCAATCAAAGTTGGAATCATGGGGCTTTTACGTATAGGTTCCGGCGAATCTGATGGTGGTGCTAGGGAGTTCCTCGGCGACGGACTTGTGGAATCAACAAAGAAATCCGACGGTCGCGTAACTTTTGGTGGACGGCGAGCGACGAGGCTGGAACGACGCGCCACTGAAAATGGATGGGTTTGGTTCGTGGAGAATGCCGTCACGTCGAATGTAGTGTTTCTCTGTCGAAACGATGCCAGAATCCGGCGGGAGTGAGCTGCGATTGGACCATGTACTCGGCAGTATTCCGGCGGTTCCAACTGCGGCTCAATCGGTTTTACGTAAATACCGGTTTTTATGATAACGGACCGACACCCCCCGGCGCCCAGAGAACTGGTGCTTTTTTCTTCTCCGATTGGACGGTCTCCGGTCCGGTTTTCAGGAGAACATTGAACTACCACGCCAGAAATATGCTATGATAAGAAATCCTCTCCTCCTATTTTTGATCTACATTTTGATGGGAACTATGGGGGTACTATTGTTACCACTATTGATACACTTGTTTTCCATGAAGCTATCAAAACACAACAAGTGTCTGCGTTGCCCAAATAATTCCTACCATGTTTCCCTTCATATCAGCAATTGAAGTGAGGAGCTTGTCCATGAACATGTACAAAGAAGTAGGTAAGAATTATGGTTTGATTTTGAGGAGAAGAGTCTCATTTGGCACTAAAGAAATTGTAAGGTATCTTATCAAAAAAGTATATATTTATTTATTAATAATAATAATTTTTTTAATTTTCCTGTTAAGTTCTTGATTCTTCTATTATAAAACTTCATCCACCATCATTGTAGGTACCCAGTTGATGAATATGACAAAATTTGGAATCCAGCGAATAATACGGCTGGATCCACAGAGGCCACAAGTGATGCACCCATTACTGTAAATCTAGAAGATAATCCTCCAGCAGCTGTGATATAGAACACATTTATTACCTTAAATACATCTTTCATTATAAGTTTAAGAACTAATCTTCCTTCAATTGAAGTAACATGTACTTTTCAGAAGTTTGTTAGTTCGATTCGACCCACGAAAGATCCTTCCAGTTATACATGAATGAGTTTCTAGTCTTGGGTATCATACCACAATATGGAAAAGTGAAAGAATTATCATTGATAAACTTAAATGCTTCTGCAAACACTTCATTTTTGTAATTTGCTAGTTCTACTTCGACATTACCCCTTCTCATCAATGCCCTGGAAGTTTTCACCATTAGTGATGAAATAACAGATGGAACCTCTAGAGATGATGGTAATTAATGTTTAAGATTATATGTAAAATCATATTTCAGGTTGTACGTACTTCTACATGCTAACTAGTGGTCATCTCTTTGCCTGCTAATTAAGTGGAGGGATTGGCTTCACTGAAAGAGAAATTTGAAATACTGCAAGACTGGAATGGCGATCCATGTCTTCCTTCACCATTTAAATGGGAGTGTGTCAATTGTAGCACTGGTGCCACCCCTCGTGTGACAGCATTGTAAGTTATTTTCAAAATTAACCCAAAATTAAATCAAAGAATTTGTTGGTTAATAAAAATCAAGGTGTACTCTTTGATTAATCTTTTTAGGTACCTCAACGACTTCGATTTGTTGGATTCCCTTCCAGATTTAAGCTCCATGGACGCTCTTGAGATAATGTAAGCTTAGCTATTGGCTTGCATTATACTTGAAACTTTCAATTCTAATAATTAAGTTTTCTTGCAGAGATCTACACAATAATAGCTTAAATGGTGAAATCCCTGATTTTCTCGGCAACTTTCCTAATCTAAGACAACTGTAGCCTGTAGGTTCTTCTCAAGATACTTCACTTTCCAACTATTTGTTGTATTTGAATTTTACTAACGATTAAACTCTATTCCTTCTCCAGGAATTTAGCAGATAATGATTTCAGTGGACCAGTGCCTACTTCATTATCAAAGAACGCCAAGTTAAAACTAGTGTAAGTAACTAATCCAATGTGTGTTGAACTTTTTACTCAAAATTCAATTGACATTCTTGATTCAATTTGTACCCTCTTTTTATTTTTGATTACCAGAGAGACGGGCAATCCAGATTTGTGCGTTTATGGTAATTATAATGTTTCAATACGGAGTTAACGATTTTTCTCCGCCCAAAGTATGGCCTAATGACACTTTCCCACCTAAAAAATTTTAAAATACAACTTTAATTACTATCTAAAAGTTTATATTCCATTAGGGCATCTCCAACCTAGCGCTATTTTGGGTTGGAGATGACCAAAATAGTGTGAATTTCAACTCCAACCCAGCGCCATTTTCTGCACCAATTTGGCATGGCATTGTTTAAACAGTAAATTTTTTTTTTTTTTGTTATTTATATTTAAGTTAATTTGTTGAAATTGTCATAGATGAAAATGTTCGATTTCAAAATTTTCTTACTCGACATAGACAAATCAAGGATACAGAGGCTTACCATACTCTTCGAAATGCATTAATTGATCATTTGTGGAAAGAATATACTAATTCGGAAAATTTAATTACTGTCAATATAGATTTTACTTTTGTGTTGTTGTTGTCTTTTTTTTTTTTTTTTTAATCATTTTATATTAGATGTAATTTTTTCTATATTAAATGTAATGTTTATTTGATTAAATAAATGCTTAATTTTATTAAATTAGTATAATTTTCAAAGTAATTATTATTTAATAAAAATATCATTCCCAATATTTAATTAATATATACAAAAATAATGAGTGAAATAGATTAATTATTGATTATTACAATAAAAGAAAAAGAATATTCTAAGACATATTCTTTTTGGTGTAATATTTGGTGCAATGGGTTGGAGATGCAATAGTGTTTCACACCAAAAATCACACTAATTTGATGTGAAACTTGCACTGATATGGTGCAATAGGTTGGAGATGGTCTTAATACCCAAAATATACTTCCTTTAGGGTTTGCGATTTTTTGGTTGTCGTTAACAAACGAATAGCAAACTCGGTTCAAGTTATTGAGACTTTTGAAGAGGGGAGGCTAGTGAGTCTTTTACTTGTGGCAGATTGAATTTTGGTGGTCGAGATTGGTCGAAATCTGACTTGGGAGGGGCGGTTGCGCGTTCCACAAATCGCTGAATTGTTGGTGATTGGCGAGGTCAGCAAGAGCAATGTTTGAGGGGTTTTGGTGAGTAATAATCTGGGAAGAGAATGGTGGGGGTGTAGGGTCACAACGATGCTGGTGAGCGCAAACTCAAAATCAACTCAATCGTAGCGATAGGTGATGAGTCTTAGCCGACGTTCGACAAATTACCAAGAGTCAGGGTAAGAAATGTTTTGTAGAGTGGAGGTTGGTGGATCGAATGATGATGACCAATTGAATATTCATCGTCGGAATCAACCAAAAATTAGCTATGAACAAGAAACCCTAACTTTAGAGTGACCTGTAATCGACGAGAAATTAGATGCCCGAATGAGAGGGGTTTTGTAGAGAAAAGATCAGTGATTCAAATAGTGGTGATAGAGAAAATTTTTGCCATTGGAATCGACTTAGAACAACAAGATCGAAGCTTTGAAACTTTGGGTAGTAAAATTGTATTTTGAAACTTTTTGAGTGGAAAATTGTCACGAGACCATACTTTGGGTTGGGAAAAAGTCGTTAACTCTTTCAATATGAGATAAAACTCTACTAGCCTTACTCACTCTCCCTACTCACTCCCCTTACTTACCTTTGTTAAAATGACATATGATATATGTACTATGTTTATGGTACCTATATTATGTTTTATATTTACAAAAGTGAGTAAGGCTACATTACTCTTTTGTTTTTTTGTTTTGCGTTAAATAGGGCAAACAAAAATTGGCAATGGGCCCAATAACACATCGCAAGGAGGGATAATGAACCTGCAGATGGTGGAGAATGTAGGCCCAACAATAATGAATCAATTTATGGACAACATCCAAAATCATAACGGCAATGGAGGTTGAGAATCAAAAGTATCATCACCAGGCTCACGAAGACCATCATGATAATGCCACCCACACCTAATCCTCTCTCTTTCTATCTTTATTGTTGTAATGTAGATTCTTAAACAATGGTGGTAGTCATGTAACGAATGTGACTTTCTATATCTTTTTTTTATGAATTCCTATTCGAATTTGTGTTATAATAATGTAGGCTACGTTTGATCCTTAATTTAAAAATATTTTTTTTAAAAAGAATAAAATTAAAATATTTAAGTTATATTCTTAATATTTTTAATTTTTTAAAATATGTTTGATATAATATTTGAAAACATGTCTTATATAGTATTTGAAAACAATCAAATATCAGTATAAATTTGCGATCATATAGCAAAATCAACAATCAAAACAAATATACACACATGAACATTAAATTTGTATGTTATTACGTGTTTAAAGTAAGTCTAAAGTTGTGGAAATTTTTTTTTTTTTTTTTTTTTTTTTGAGCATATATCTCCAATCTAAAATTATATAGTTTATGGTTTTTTTTTAATCTAAGTCACTATGGTTGAAAATCAACATTGATCTAACTAAGCATTGACATTGGAGTATAAGTATATTTTTTATACGTTGAACTCATAATAAATTTCCTAATCTATCAAACAAACCAAGTTTATAAAAAAATACCCTGTAAACTAATTAACGCTCATGCGCTTATGAAATCTCTCTCAAAGCCAAAACTTCAAAAATATTATTTAATATGATAAAATATTAGTAGATAATACCTGGAGAGTTTGAGAGATGAAAATAAAGTCAAAGAGACGAGGGAACAATGATGCTCACATAAACTATGTCTGGTGGTCGAATATTTAAGAAAGACTTTTGGATGTATTATTCAAGAGGTTTCGAGTTCGAGTCCCTTTTTAAATGCTAATAAAATAGTCATTGGAGCTCTTACTTGGCTAATATTTTCAAGGTCTTAAGCGATTAATTAAGGTATGTATAGCTGACTCGGATATTCCTTGCAGTAAAAAAATTACGACTACATAAAATAAGAAATTAGAGTTTTAATTTGATATACTGTTATTTGAGGAATATAAAGAGTTGTTATACATTAATTTTTTTGAAATTTTAATAAGGTGTTAAAGCATGAGATGGCAGGCTGTTATGAAAATTATAAGTTCTAATCTCACTACTTGTACGTTCTTTTAAATTATATACTTCGGTCACTAACTTTTGATTAAACTTTATATATGTAATCAGTTTTTTAATTAATATTAAGGTTTTTTTCTATCCCCTGAGATTTAAACGAATAACAAAACTCTCGCAAGATTTTAGAAATAATATAAATTTCTTTATCTCAAGGGAACTATTAGTATAGCATTAGAATTTATAATATGGTGAGTTAATAAATATTTACAATATTCTTCCTCTGTCGTATATTTTAATACCAAAGACTTAATCGTAAGGGGATTTTTGTTATTACTACAATGACACGGGATTTTAGCGATAAACCCATTAATATATGACACCAATGTTTTATGATCTCCAACTTTTATCAAATAAACATTAGTAATTTTTTACACTTTATAAATATAATCTATGGGTAAAGGTGTCATTTCCATTTACATGTTACATTAATCATTTTATTGTTATTAATTTTATCAATTAAATATTATACTTAAATAGTCACACCATATAAAAGAAATAAGTATGCAATGGAGACGACATATGGACCTGCTTTTTCTTTTTCGATTAGTAATTCATCCTGTGTCTATAACTTTTAACTTTTATATTATATAGCCCAACGACTTACACATACCTAACGTTTGTTATAACGATAAATTGATACTCAAAAGGTTTTAAAATAATAAATAGGTACCTTCCGTCATGTGTTGTTAGTGATTTTCGTTTGGTAATAGTAAAAAGACTAAAATACCTTTGAAAGTTTGATATTTTAGTCTTTTATAAATTTAAAAATTTTTAGAAAAACCCCTTAAGTTTACAAATTTAATTAAATACCCTAATATATAAAATTTTTTGTAAAATAATAAAAACACTCCTACCACTCGCAGTGTCAGATTTCGACCGCCGAAAACTTGCGTTACGACACAAGCCCATCAGATCTGTGTTGTAACACGTCAATCTAGTATTTTTCGGTCATATCCGGATATGGCCAGATCACTTATGATCACTTAAATTTAACTAATTTTTGTTTTCATCATTTATAATTGGAGTACTTAGGAAAATACATTTTTGTAGGTTTTATATCAAGATTATAAAATACAACGATCGTTTTATTGTTTTCTTCCTTGAAATCCTAGAAAGCGATCCCTCTGGGTCCCAAAAAGTCTTGTCATCCATTGGTCAGAAAACGCCGCATCACGACACGCAAATGACACATTGCCACACATAAACATTACCCACTCATCTATCGTACTTATCATCGCCATAAAAAACCATTATTTGCTTCGTGACTCGCTGCGTCCTTATTTTCTCCCTTTTCTTTCGATTTAGGGCACGGAAAAAACAAAACAATAACAAAATCGTTAACAAAACTCGCTATTTGACTCAGTAGCCTAACACAATAGATTCCTGATCTGCCTCGCAGGTACTCTCACTCTCTCTTTCTTTCCCAATCGCTGAGTCCTACTTGATTTTCGACTCGCCCGCGGAGTTCGATCTGAGTTCACTTAACTTTTTTTTATTTTTTACGATCCTCCCGTTCTGTCACCGTTTTCTTTTTCAAAACATGCATCAACTATTGTTCGTCATTAATCGCGATAAGTAAATTAGTGTTTTTATTTTTTTATTTTTTATTTTTATTTTTTGGAGTTGAGACTTTGATTTGTTACTATTAGGTTTTCGTTTTAAGCATTGAAAGCTTTATTTGGTTGCTGAGAAGCTGCGGCCAAATTTGTGGCAGATTAATTGATTTATTTATATTTGGATTATGCAATTATTGATGAAAGCTTTACTGAAGTAAGCGGAAGTAGAGATTGTTTTTACTTCTTGTTTTTATTTTTGTGAGTGATGAAAATGAGATGTTTAAGTTTTAGATTTTAGTTTCTTTTGGTTCTTTCATATTCTAAGTAAAGCAGTAAGAGATTATTTTCTTGGTTTTTAAAATTTTTATTTGCTTTTTTGCTTATCTTGGATACTACATTTGCGATGGAGACTTAATTTTTATATAACTGATTTCATCATTACGTTTCTGTTTATAGCTTGCAGCTCTTTAGAAAATGGATTTAGTGTGGACTTTTTTCAATAATTTTTATGTTATTATATTTGTGTACATTTGTGGGTCCTTTCTTCTATATTGAGCATGTTAGGGTTTTTGACCAACCATATTCTATATTGAAATTTGTCCCTGTTTTTTCTTAACGAAACGTTATGTGTAGGAATAAATCATTGAAGCCTAATAGGACTCCTTAACTCGTGTTTGTGTAAGACCATTCTATCTATTCGTCAAACATTATATTAATTTTGCAAAGAGTGATAGAAACCCAGACATAAGGCCTTTAATACTGTCAAGATTCTGTTATTCCAAAATTGGTGGTATACAAAGTTGATATTAGGTAAATGAGTTAATGACCTCCGACTACGTGTTGGGATTCATTCTTGATGTTTGGCTCTGTGCGTGTTGCTTGTGACATTTGGGCTCCGTTCATTCTAGTCCGCATATTCCTGTCTCAGTTTTGGTTACACTTTTAGTTTCTTACAATAGTGTTGTCCTTTTCAGGCAATAAGTTGAATATTCACTGAGAAAAGCTTTTCAAATCAGCAATCTATCTCTTGAAATCAAGAAACAGAAGGGCTTCTTCCCAGCGAGGAATGATTTTTTGCATGAGCTTTTGACACTTGTGCAATGTCGGGGTTACTTAATGTACTGTCACTGAACTTGCAAACTCTAGGCCAAAGAAATTATCCATAGAGTTGTGGAACCTTTTTTTGCTTAATGGGATATGTGCATTTTGTTCGTTGTGAAGTGGTTACATTTATAGAATTTGGAATTTGCTTTGAGACAAATTTATTGATTCAATAATTATTGATGCTCTTCTCCAGTCTATAAGAAGTGATAAGTGTACAAATGTTTTAGTATTTTTATTTTCTTTTGTGGATTTTTGCTTATTAATTGGTGATATTTCTTGTTTATGTGCTTAGTGGGCATAAGCAAAAAACGAGTGATTTCATCTTTAATGTAATATTTGGGGTTTGCACTATTTTGGTTTAGGTTATTCTTTGAGAAATATGGTTTTGAATTGAGTTGCCACCTTTGGATGTAACAAATTTAGTACTTATGACCCTGTTGCTTGCTGGTAGTAGCGTTACTTGCCTAATTGTATTTAAGGATGAGTTATGAAATAGCCACTGCTATGATTATGAAAATTATTGTTGCTTGCTTGTGTTGGATGCATCATTATTGTTATGAATGTTGGGCAATCCTTTGTTATGCTATTTGTTTTAGGTTAACTTGTATTATTTGATTTTCTGGTGATATGCATTTTTTTATGGATTGGCCATGTTTTTTCTGTTCTTTTGGCAAAATTTTGACACACTTTTAGCTGCAGTCTTCTCTCAATGGATCGGCTTCTAATATTCCAGACGGTACTGGGCGATCATTTGCCACATCTTTCTCTGCACAGTCTGGTGCGGCTTCCCCTGTTTTCCATCACACTGGTGGGTGATTTTTGCTGCAGCTGCACTCATTTGTGTTCTTTAATTTTTATATAATGGTATCTTTTCCTTTTGCAGGAACTATTCAGGGGCTTCATAACATTCATGGGAGCTTTAATGTTCCCAATATGCCGGGCACACTTACTTCAAGAAACTCAACAATGAATAACGTTCCATCTGGTGGGGTTCAACAACCTAGTGGAAGCCTTTCTAGTGGAAGATTTGCATCAAATAATCTTCCTGTTGCTCTATCCCAGGTACTTGTGATATGGCCATGCATGGAATTTTCTCTGTTTGTTCTCTTTCTATACATGTGTTATGTCTGCATGCGTTGTAGTTCTGTATAATGTCCTTACTTTTCAATTGATTTGCAGTTATCTCATGGAAGCTCTCATGGACATTCAGGAGTCACAAACAGAGGGGGTATGAGTGTTGTTGGGAACCCTGGATTTAGTAGTAACACAAATGGAGTTGGTGGTTCTATTCCTGGGATTCTCCCAACCTCTGCGGCAATTGGTAACCGGAATGCTGTTCCAGGATTGGGAGTATCCCCAATTTTGGGAAATACAGGTCCTCGGATTACAAGTTCAATGGGAAACATGGTTGGTGGGGGTAACATCGGAAGGAGCATAAGCTCTGGTGGTGGATTATCTGTACCTGGTCTTGCATCTCGTTTAAATCTATCTGCAAATAGTGGATCTGGAAATCTGAGTGTGCAAGGACAAAATAGGTTGATGAGTGGTGTGCTTCCACAAGGTATCTTACCCTGAAATGGCAGTATATTTTTTTTTTTGCGACTAGGGAAAAAAGATTTTTGTTATTATTACAGGCTTTTCTTCATCTTCAATGAAGATTTGTTGTCACTGATCCGCCTGATTATGTATTAGCTTTAAAGTTGACCTATTCTCTTATAATTATGTATTGTCTATTACTACACACACACAGATATTATTCACATTCTGTTATGGACTTATTGCCACATGAATGTTCATGGAAGATTCTCGGCACTTGGGTGTGAACACATTTTTATTCATTTATTTGTTAGGTTTCTCTTCTAAATTTTTTATTGATGATAATGGATTCAATGCAGCTTAGTCTAGCTTTGTTTGATTGTGTGACCTGACATATTTTATATTCAGGATCTCCACAGGTCATTTCTATGTTAGGAAATTCCTATCCTGCTGGTGGTGGTCCACTTTCCCAAAGTCACGTTCAAGTGAACAATCTAAGTTCTATGGGAATGTTGAATGATGTGAACTCAAATGACAATTCTCCATTTGATATAAATAATGATTTCCCGCAGTTGACAAGTCGTCCTAGTTCTGCAGGAGGCCCTCAAGGTCAATTGGGTAATTATAAAAGATTGTGGAGTTTGGCTTTTGGATACTTCTCTTTGTTCTATTTCTTGCAACTGGAGATATAATTTAAACTGAACATTTCAGGTTCACTAAGGAAACAAGGTCTTGGAGTTAGTCCCATTGTTCAACAAAACCAAGAGTTCAGCATCCAAAATGAAGATTTTCCTGCTTTACCTGGGTTTAAAGGTGCAAAGATATTCTTTTGGCCTGGCTAATGATATGTGCATTTTACATTATGATGTGTCAGAATAAGGTTTATCTACCATTTTTATATGGGAACTTGGAATCTCTCATGAGGAGAGTTTCAGGTCTTCACGCTCAATGGTTCACTGATGCTGAGTAATGTGTTTCCATCTACTGATAAATTGGAGATGCTGTGCTTATATTTCAAAGACTTTACTTTATTTCATAATATTTTTGTGTCACATGGTTAATGATCCTGAAAGGGAAAAGAGATCTAATATTGTGCATCAGTTCACCCATGAGAGTTGTTCTTTTACACGAGTTTGACTTGTTAGCCATTTACTAACTAATTATTTGGGGATGGAAAATTCTTTCTCTTGCTCAATATGTGAAAAGAAATAAAGTTTAGAAAAAGACAATTTTGTAATGGAAGCTGATTGGCTATCGTAAACAAAAAAATGTTGATCAGGTGTCCTAGAACTGTGAGTTGTTGACTATTTTGTTAGGTTTTGTGCAGGCGGTAATGCTGACTATGCTATGGATTTGCATCAGAAAGAACAACTTCATGAAAACACCATGTCAATGATGCAATCTCAGCACTTCTCTGTAAGTTCTACTGTTCAAAGATTTCTCTAGCTCCTCTTTTTTATTCCTTTTTGTTTTCGTATCTACATTTTTGTTGATATGAATTTCCATTTGTATTGGAATGATGCAATTTGCAGATGGGCAGATCTGCTGGGTTTAATTTAGGTGGAACCTACTCTTCTCATCGTCCACAGCAGCAACAGCAACATGCTCCATCTGTTAGTAGTAGTGGTGTCTCCTTTTCATCCGTTAACAACCAGGATCTTCTCCATTTACATGGTTCTGATATGTTCCCATCTTCACATTCGACCTACCATTCACAGGTTTGGCACTTTGTTGCTCTAATTGGTTTATTTTATTGTGTCTTGGCATTTGCTGTTAACTTCTCATGTACTTTGTTCTGTGTATTTATAGGTGGTTAACAGGGGCTGAAAGTTGATTTTTTGTTATTTAATTTCTTCCATCTTTCTCAAATAGAACTTAAAAGCTTAAATACAGTACTCACAAGGGTTAATCTGAATTACGGATCTATCTTTTAAGAATAATACTACTATTTCCCAAGTTTATCCAGAACTTCCTATTTTGAGTGACTTTTGCTGTTTCATTGGAAACTGTTGACTGATGAGTTTGATAACATTGCGGAAGTGGTAGAAATAATTGAAATGTGGCATTGGGTGTAATGGAAAGAACTGAGCGAGTTAATTCAAAGGGATTAGTTTCACTGCCCCATAATAAGCTAATGCCCTTGTAGACATTTTTCTTTGTATCATCTTTTGTTGTTTTCTTATTCTGATGATCTATACATTTCATCTTCTGTTCAGACCAGTGGACCACCTGGCATTGGACTAAGACCTTTGAATTCTGCCAATCCAGTTTCTGGTATTGGCTCGTATGACCAGCTTATTCAGCAGTATCAGCAACATCAGAACCAATCTCAATTTCGCCTACAACAGATGTCTGCTGTCAATCAGTCATTTAGGAATCAGGATATAAAATCCATGCAGTCACCACATTCAACTCCTGATCCATTTGGCTTGCTTGGCTTGTTAAGCGTGATAAAGATGAGTGATCCTGATCTGACTTCGCTTGCACTTGGAATTGACCTGACAACACTTGGATTGAACTTGAATTCAGCAGAAAATCTTCATAAGACGTTTGGTTCACCATGGTCTGATGAACCAGCCAAGGGCGACCCAGAGTTCACTGTGCCACAATGTTATTATGCTAAACAACCACCTGTGCTACATGTGAGCTGCTCTTCATTTTTCATTTATGGTGGTTCGTAGTGCGTAAATATTTTCTCTTGCTTATCCCGCTATTTTCTGTTGTCTACAGCAAGGTTACTTTTCAAAGTTTTCAGTGGAAACATTGTTCTATATATTTTACAGGTGCATCTTTTGTTTCATTTTTGTTGCATTATTGTCACATGCTTCAATTATTTTATTTTATTTATTTATTTATTTTGGGTGTGTTACTTACCAACCATGGTTTCTATCTAATTTGCAGCATGCCAAAAGATGAGGCCCAATTATATGCTGCAAATGAACTGTATGCTCTCTCTCTTTTTTATTTTTTTGTTCTGATGTTGATTTACCCTTAAATGTCAAATAGACGTTTCTGGTTTCCAAAATTCGTTTGGGATTTTCAATATTTTTCATTCTGCAATCTGTACTGAAAAATGCGGTAGTTTACTAATATAACTTTGACTACTATTGGCAGTTATAATAGAAATTGGATGTATCACAAGGATCATCGGTATTGGTTCATCAGAGTACCTAATGTGGAGCCACTTGTTAAGACGAACACATATGAGCGAGGGTCTTATCACTGTTTTGATCCAAGCACATTTGAAATAGTCCGCAAGGTTTGAGTGGTCTATAGCTTCTTCATTCATTTGTGTCCTGCTATTTGGTGTTTGCCAGTTATTGACCAATTTTACCGAACTGACTGTTGTAGTATTATTTGCTCGCAGGATAATTTTGTTGTGTATTACGAAATGGTGGATAAGAGACCAGCTTTACCGCAACATTAACAATTTTTTTCTTTTGATTTTACATTGTAAATTTTCTATTGTGGAACACATTGATTAGAACGACAGTCAGTTTGCTGCATTAATGTTCTTTTAATTTAGCGAGAGCTAGCAATTGTTGCGTCAATCTTGTTGCAGTAACTGGTCCCTTTGTAGCTTATCTCTTCAGTATATATGAGGTGATGACAAAGCAATTGCCAAAGAATATTTACTAAGTTACGCATGTATACTAGGAACTTGAAAATATATTCAGTTACTGTAGCCCTATAATTTATCAGAAATATATTTAATCTGGTCTCTTTGATGGATGAATAATAAACTTGGAAAAAGCAATTACAGGAGCTTGATTATATGGACCCATCATGGTCAAGCTGCCAATTTGGAGCAATTACACAGCATGCCTTTTTAATAGGCTAGATCATTCAATTGAAAGTCCGCAGCGAATGTTTTATCTTGTGTCAAGGGAGGTCTGTAGCACCAATGAAAGTGGCTTCTTCATATACTAGAAAGACACTAGGGGGGCGTTTGGTTAGGGGTAGGGGTGTAGGCTCGGCTCGAGAAAAGCTAGAGTTTGGCTCGGCTCGATTCGAGCAGCTCAAGTGCCTTTTCGAGTTGAGCTTGAGCCACCCAGTGCTTGGCTCGTGAGCCTTCATGGCTCGAAAGGGTATGAGTGTAAGGTTTTTAAATATAAAGTGTAAGTTTTTTAAGTATAAAGGTGTCTATGCAATTTATTATTTTACATATAAATGGTTTACTCTAAAAACGCTAACACATTTTTCATCACAGCCGCACTTACTCTCCTTTTTTTTTTTTTTTTTTTTTTCCCTTCTCCTTTCCTTATTCTTTCTCTCTCCTTCTTCTTTCCTTTAGCTCTTTTACCTCAAATCTATGGCATTACAAATCTTGTCTCACTCTCTCTTCTCCAAGCTGCTTTTTCTTCTTAAAAGGCTGTTGCTTTTACATTATCGTTAAGGTTTTGAAGAATCTAGTGGGTTGGCTTTGGATTGTGTTTTTTTTTTTTTTTTTAAAAGATTATTGGTGGGTTGCTTTGGATTAAAGCCTATCAAACGAGCCGAGCTTGAGCCGAGCTTTGAGCTTGGTTTCCAGAGCTTGTCGAACCCAAGCTCGAGCTCAAGTTCGTTAAATTTTCTCGAGCCGAGTGTCGAGTCCTATAGTGTTCGGCTCGGCTCGTATACACTCCTAGTTGGGGGTAATATCAGATTATTGGGGTTATGTTATTTTATATTATTTTGATTATTGTTTGAATGTTAATAAGGTGTTAAAGCATGAGATGGCAGGCTGTTAGAAAATTATAGTTCTAATCTCACTACTTGTACGTTCTTTAAATTATATACTTCGTCACTAACTTTTGATTAAACTTATATATGTAATCAGTTTTTTAATTAATATTAAGGTTTTTTTTCTATCCCTGAGATTTAAACGAATACAAAACTCTCGCAAGATTTTAGAAATAATATAAATTTCTTTATCTCAAGGAACTATTAGTATAGCATTAGAATTATATATGGTGAGTTAATATATTTACATATTCTTCCTCTGTCGTATATTTTAATACCAAAGACTTAATCGTAAGGGGATTTTGTTATACTACAATGACACGGGATTTTAGCGATAAACCCATTAATATATGCACCAATGTTTTATGATCTCCAACTTTTATCAAATAAACATTAGTAATTTTTTACACTATAAATATAATCTATGGTAAAGGTGTCATTTCCATTTACATGTTACATAATCATTTTATTGTTATTAATTTTATCAATTAAATATATACTTAAATAGTCACACCATAAAAGAAAAAGTATGCAATGGAGAGACATATGGACCTGCTTTTCTTTTTCGATTAGTAATTCATCCTGTGTCTATAACTTTTAACTTTATATTATATAGCCCACGACTTACACATACCTAACGTGTTTTATAACGATAAATTGATACTCAAAGGTTTTAAATAAAAAATAGGTACCTTCCGTCATGTGTTGTTATGATTTTCGTTTGGTAATAGTAAAAAGACTAAAATACCTTTGAAAGTTTGATATTTTAGTCTTTATAAATTTAAAAATTTTTAGAAAAAACCCCTTAAGTTTACAAATTTAATTAAATACCCTAATATATAAAATTTTTGAAAATAATAAAACACTCACCACTCGCAGTGTCAGATTTCGACCGCCGAAACTTGCGTTACGACACAAGCCCATAGATCTGTGTTGTAACACGTAACTAGTATTTTTCGGTCATATCCGGATATGGCCAGATCACTTTGATCACTTAAATTTAATCATTTTGTTTTTCATCATTTATAATTGGAGTACTTAGGAAAATACATTTTTGTAGGTTTTATATCAAGATTATAAAATACAACATCGTTTTATGTTTTCTTCCTTGAAATCCTAGAAAGCGATCCCTCTGGGTCCAAAAGTCTGTCATCCATTGGTCAGAAACGCCGCATCACGACACGCAATGACACATTGCCACACATAAACATTACCCACTCATCTATCGTACTTATCATCGCCATAAAAAACCATTATTTGCTTCGTGACTCGCTGCGTCCTTATTTTCTCCCTTTCTTTCGATTTGGGCACGGAAAAAAAAAAACAATAACAAAATCGTTAACAAAACCGCTATTTGACTCAGTAGCCTAACACAATAGATTCCTGATCTGCCTCCAGGTACTTCACTCTCTCTTTCTTTCCAATCGCTGAGTCCTACTTGATTTCGATCGCCCGCGAGTTCGATCTGAGTTCACTTAACTTTTTTTTATTTTTACGATCCTCCGTTCTGTCACCGTTTTCTTTTTCAAAACATGCATCAACTATTGTTCGTCATTAATCGCGATAAGTAAATTAGTGTTTTTATTTTTTTATTTTTATTTATTTTTTGGAGTTGAGACTTTGATTTGTTACTATTAGGTTTTCGTTTTAAGCATTGAAAGCTTTATTTGGTTGCTGAGAAGCTGCGGCCAAATTTGTGGCAGATTAATTGATTTATTTATATTTGGATTATGCAATTATTGATGAAAGCTTTACTGAAGTAAGCGGAAGTAGAGATTGTTTTACTTCTTGTTTTATTTTTGTGAGTGCTGAAATGAGATGTTTTAAGTTTTAGATTCTAGTTTCTTGTGTTCTTTCATATTCAAGTAAAGCAGTACGAGATTATTTTCTTGGTTTTTTTAAATTTTTATTTGCTTTTTTGCTTATCTTGGATACACATTGCGATGAGACTTAATTTTTATATAAACTGATTTCAATTACGTTTCTGTTATAGCTTGCAGCTCTTTAGAAAATGGATTTAGTGTGGACTTTTTTCAATAATTTTTATGTTATTATATTGTGTACATTTGTGGGTCCTTTCTTCTATATTGAGCATGTTAGGGTTTGACCAACTATATCTATATTGAAATTGTCCCTGTTTTTTCTTAACGAAACGTTATGTGTAGGAATAAAACTTGAAGCCTATAGGACTCTTAAAGAGTGTTTGTGTAAGACTTATCTATTCGTCAAACTTATATAATTTTGCAAAGAATGATAGAAACCCAGACATAAGGCTTTAATACTGTCAAGATTCTGTTATTCCAAAATTGGTGGTATACAAAGTTGATATTAGGTAAATGAGTAATGACCTCCGACTACGTGTTGGATTCATTCTTGATGTTTGGCTCTGTGCGTGTTGCTTGTGACATTTGGGCTCCGTTCATTCTAGTCGCATATTCCTGTCTCAGTTTTGGTTACACTTTTAGTTTCTTACAATAGTGTTGTCCTTTTCAGGCAATAAGTTGAATATCACTGAGAAAAGCTTTTCAAATCAGCAATCTATCTCTTGAAATCAAGAAACAGAAGGGCTTCTTCCAGCGAGGAATGATTTTTTGCATGAGACTTTTGACACTTGTGCAATGTCGGGGTTACTTAATGTACTGTCACTGAACTTGCCACTCTAGGCCAAAGAAATTATCCATAGAGTTGTGGAACCTTTTTTTGCTTAATGGGATATGTGCATTTTGTTCGTTGTGAAGTGGTTATATTTATAGAATTTGGAATTTGCTTTGAGACAATTTATTGATCATAATTATTGATGCTCTTCTCCAGTCTATAAGAAGTGTAAGTGTACAAATGTTCTAGATTTTTATTCTTTTGTGGATTTTTGCTTATTAATTGGTGATATTTTGTTTATGTGCAGTGGGCAAAGCAAAAAACGAGTGATTTCATCTTTAAGTAATATTTGGGGTTTGCACTATTTTGGTTTAGGTTATTCTTTGAGAATATGGTTTTGAATTGAGTTGCCCCCTTTGGATGTAACAAATTTAGTACTTATGACCTGTTGCTTGCTGGTAGTAGGTTACTTGCCAATTGTATTTAAGGATGAGTTATGAAATCACATGCTATGATTATGAAAATTTGTTGCTGCTTTGTGTGGATGCATCATTTTGTTATGAATGTTGGGCTATCCTTTGTTATGCTATTTGTTTTAGGTAACTTGTATTATTTGATTTTGTGGTGATAGCATTTTTTTATGGATTGGCATGTTTTACTGTTCTTTCAGCAAAATTTGACACACTTTTAGCTGCAGTCTTCTCTCAATGGATCGGCTTCTAAATCCAGACGGTACTGGGGATCATTTGCCACATCTTTCTCTGCACAGTCTGGTGCGGCTTCCCTGTTTTCCATCACACTGGTAGGTGGTTTTTGCTGCAGCTGCACTCATTTGTGTTCTTTAATTTTATATAATGGTATCTTTTCCTTTTGCAGGAACTATTAGGGGCTTCTAACATTCATGGGAGTTTAATGTTCCCAATATGCGGGCACACTTACTTCAAGAAACTCAACAATGAAAACGTTCCATCTGGTGGGGTTCAACAACCTACTGGAAGCCTTTCTGTGGAAGATTTGCATCAAATAATCTTCCTGTGCTCTATCCCAGGACTTGTGATATGCCATGAATGGAATTTTCTCTGTTTGTTCTCTTTCTATACATGTGTTATGTCTGCATGCGTTGTAGTTCTGTATAATGTCCTTCTTTTCAATGATTTGCAGTATCTCATGGAAGCTCTCATGGACATTCAGGAGTCACAAAAAGAGGG